CGAATACACAAGAGGAGTGGATTTATGCTCACATGCTTGCATATCAAAAAGAAGATTGCATTCCAGAGAAAGCAATCTCCTTAACTGAGAGTAAGAAGCTTTAAAAGATCTTTGGCTTGAATGAAAATGCCTTCTTTTTGGAGCCTGGCCCACATCCCTAGGTATAAAGTCCACTAGGACTCTGTGGGAACATCTACAATGAAACCATGTCCTTTTTCCAAGCTGAGGGACTGCTCTGGATTCAGTGCTGGAGTGCTACTCCTGCCTTGCTAAAAAAGGAAATGAACATCCAGAAGTTCTATTTGCCAAAAGCTATTTGTTTGCAAAGGAAAATGTCAACCAACATTTATTGATACCACCAAAAAAAAAAGGGGAAAAAAGAAAAAATTTCTCTCAGTGCTAGCTTTCAAATGAAACTGACTTAGTCTTAGCAAAACACCTCAGGAGTAAAAAGGCTACCCATTTTCTGCTGTTATATCAATAACAGTACATCCAAACAGTGTACCTATAATCAATACTGTAAAAAGGCACTAGTCATGGCATGTAGTCACAGGTTCTCAGGATGAAATACAGTGGTCTAATCCTCTGACTTTACGGCAAGGCAATTATTTTCTGCCGTGGTTTTTAAGAAAACACTTATTACGTGAAATGGAAAAAAAAAGAAAGGCCACATAGCCCAGCATGACTTTTTGCCCTCAGCATAGCTTTGCAATGCCGTCTTTGAGTTGACAAAATAGTTCTGATATTTCAAGTGCATGTCTTATTATACTTTACCCTTCCCCTCAGTTTCAATGCTAGTCACAGCAACTGGGTTACCTATGCAGTGTATTTGCTTTGAATTGAGAGAATTTTTCAAAAACATAGTGCCACGAGCTTTAGCCCCTCTTTTTGCTTAGGATTTTCTTTCTTCAGAGATTGAGCTTAACTTGGACTGTAAATGAAAAGTGAATTTCATATTACTTGGTTTTCTTTTTTCAGATACTTTGGACAAGGACAGAAATTCAGAAATTGTTTACAGTTGTTAATACTCCAAGGGTCCAGCACCACCTACTTAGTTCTTTTCTATTTAGCCAATATTATTAGGTCAACAATTTTAAAACTTTCATAGCAAGATATTTGCTTTTTAAACATACAACACCAGGGAATCAGATTCTAGTGCACTGATAAAAAAATATTGCAATCCAGTTTGGTTTTTTTCTGAAATTTATTTTTTCACTTCCAGAAGTTTCTTGGGTCTCATTTTCCTAGAAAAGCAACCTGTAATTCCATATCTTCATAAGTGGCAGTGCACACACACAAGACAAGAACTATTCATCTTCATCCAAAATTCCTTTTTTGGATTTCCTTCCTGAAAACATGATGAGCAGCTCATGATCTTCTTGTAAATTACAATAAGCTCAAAGTAAACACATACATTTCTGTTTTAAAGGCATCTTTAATCTTTTTAACCATCTTCATTATTGTAAAGCCTAGGGATTGATGAAGCATGGGATCCTCAGTTTGCTGCATCTCACCAAATCAACAAAAGGCTGCTTGTTGTCTTGCCTCCTGGATGGAGAGTCCTCTTTTTTTTTTTTTTTTTTTTCAGATCAATGAGACAGAAGGAAAGTGGAGAATTCCTGAGAAAGGGGTTTGTGAGAAGCAGACAAGTAGGAACACTGCAGCACCAATTTAGTTTGGTTTACACTGCTGTGAAGCAGCAATTTGCAGGTGTGGTTCCTCAGTGTAAATCCAGCAGCCAAATGAAGGGAGTACCTTGCTTTCCTGCCGGTTCACTCTTCCCCACTCCAAGGAGTAACAAGGCAAGCCAGACAGCCAGACTCTGCTGTCTTGGAACTAAGCTTTCATAACACAAAGGCTGTTTCCCCCATCTATCTTCTAGCTGTCTTTGCCTGCTCCAACTCTGGTAACTGCTGAACCCCAGAGTGAGAAAATTTAGGAATCTGAATCAGCAAAAAGCTAGCTATGCGATTTCAAAAAAGGGAGAAAAATGAATAAAAATATTATCTTTCTGAGCTGTTTAAGTGAGGATGAATAAAAACCAGCTCTGGTGTATGGAAGGGAAGAATTGTGTACACGACAGCAGGGAAGAAAAGGACTGCCTGTATAAGCAGTGGCCTCCAGTTCAGCATGAGGTGAACTTTCCCAATGTCAGAGGGGCAGGAGAACAATGTCACTGTCCACGGCCACTGATGTTGTTATGCTTCCCATTTTCCAAGTGCCATGCTTCTGCCTGCAGGACTCGTGGGCCAGCCCAGCTCACTGACACCAGCTCTGTCATTTAGCCCATTAAATCAGCCCAGTGATCAATGTGCGCAGGGTCTGGCACGGGGGACAAGACAGGGGCCAAGTGGAGCAGCCAGGGTGGGAGAAGGGGAAGAATGACCTCCTCCACTTTCCTCTCCCTGCGTGTGAAAGCCATAATTGCACCTCTGCAGGCCAATGCAGAGGGACAGAGAGGACATGACTGCCTTTCCCACCATCAAGGGGACTTGGACCAGTTTAAACTGGTCCTGAAATATTGAAGATGGAGGGAGAAGACCCAACTTTCATTGTTCAGCATCGACTCTATTTATTCACTCAATCAATCACTTTTTGTAACCGTGTTAATTAAGTTCATGCATATTGCAAACCCGAGCTCACAATAGGTCAGAGATAACACACCAGCCCCTCCTTATGTTTCCAATACCAAGATTTGGGTTCTCAAAATTATTTTTGCTTTCCCAAAACAGCCAAAGATAGAATATCTACTTGTTATGAGAAAGCTGCCTGAGAACTCTGGTATGCAAGGTTCTCAAGGCCTTCATGTTTGTCACTTTTACTTGTAATTAAAAACAACCTGAGAACTTCTGCTGTTTACAGAAACCGGCTGTGAGAATTTTACTCCTCACAGCTGCCTTCTAAGCCATTTCTGAAAAAATCTCCAACACTGAAACAGCACCTAAAATCACAGCCCCTCATTTAAGGGTCTCTGTTTTAATTCAAGTGGATTCCTGGCAGTCTACATGTGGGTCAGCCATGCTGGGGCTTTACTTGGGAAATTGCCATCCATCAGCAAGAGTTCATCTGGTTCAGCTGCACATCCTTGTGCAGTTCTGGGCTTCTCAGCACAAGAAAGAAGCTCCTGGAGACAGTGCAGCAGAGGGCCGCGAAGATGATTAGGGGTCTGGAGCATCTTTCTTCTGAGGAATGACTGCAGGAGCTGGGTCTGTTTAGTCTAGAGAAGAGAAGACTGAACGAGGATCTCATTAATGCAGATAAATATCTCTAAGGTGGGTGCCAAGAGGATGGTGCTGGACTCTTTTTCAGTAGTGCCCAGCAACAGCAGGAGGAGCAAGGGCCATAAATTAAAACAATGGCCATAAAATAAACAGAAGAAGTTTCATCTCAGTGTAAGGAAGAACTTGTTTATGTTGAAGGTGGTGGAGCCCTGTACCAGGCTGCCCAGGGAGTTCATGGAGTCTGCCTCTCTGGAAACATTCAAAACCCGACTGGATGTTTGCCTGTGTTATCTCCTTTAGGTGATTCTGCCTTGGCATGGGGTTGGACTAGATGATCTCCAGAGGAGCCTTTCAACCCTAACTGTGATTCAGTGATTCTGTGTAAGTAACAGTGCAGAAAGTCCGATGGGTTGTGCTGGATTTATGGAATAGCACTGAGCACCCAGGCTTGCACAACTCTGAATTTAAAAACCCGTGTCTCTCTGGAGTGTTGTTGCATTCCGGATAAGGAACGCGATTTTGCGGACAGCAATGCTGCAGAGCCAACCACACCGGGAATACTGGGAATGGCTCCACGGTGATCTCCCCATCTTACACCGGGGCTCTGAGCAAGGCGAGAGGGGTTGCAGGGCATGGCTAGGCAAAGCCGGGACCGCGCTCGGAAGCGGGAGTTTGAGGAAGGCAGGGGAGCACCCAAGCACCGCACCACCTTTCACGCCTTTTCCCCTGTTCTTCCAACACTCTCCCCCAGAGCGCCGGACCGGCACCGCGGGCATCAGCGGAGCGGAC